GTTTCTATGGTGCCAGGTCTTATGTTTAAGTCTTTAATCCACCTGGAGTTAATTTTAGTGTGAGGTGTCAGGAAGGGGTCCAGTTTCTGCTTTCTGCACATGGCTACCCAGTTTTCCCAATGCCATTTATTAAACAGGGAATCCTTTTCCCATTGCTTGTTTTTGTCAGGTTTATCAAAGATCGTATGGTTGTAGATATGTTGTGTTGCCTCTGATGCCTCTGTTCTGTTCCATTGGTCTATATCTCTGTTTTGGTACCAGTACCATGCTGTTTTGATTACTGTAGCCTTGTAGTATAGTTTGAAATCCGGTAGTGTGATGCCCCCCGCTGTGTTCTTTTTGCTTAGAATTGACTTGGCTATGCGGGCTCTCTTTTGGTTCCATATGAAGTTCATGGTGGTTTTTTCCAGTTCTGTGAAGAAAATCAATAGTAGCTTGATGGGGATAGCACTGATTCTGTAATTTACTTTGGGCAGTATAGTCATTTTCATGATATTAATTCTTCCTAACCATGAACATGGAATGTTTCTCCATCTGTTTGTGTGCTCTCTTATTTCATTGAGTGGTGGTTTGTAGTTTTCCATGAAGAGGTCCCTTACATTCCTTGTGAGTTGTATTCCTAGGCATTTTATTCTCTTTGTAGCAATTGTGAATGGCAGTTTGTTCTTGTTATGGCTCTCTTTAAGTCTGTTATTGGTATATAGGAATGCTTGTGATTTTTGCACATTGATTTTATATCCTGAGACTTTGCTGAAGTTCAGCAGTTTTTGGGCTGAGGCGATGGGGTCTTCTAGGTATGCTATTATGTCGTCTGCAAATAGTGACAATTTGGCTTCCACCTTTCCTATTTGAATACCCTTTATTTCTTTTTCTTGCCTGATTGCTCTGGCTAGAACTTCCAGTACTATATTGAATAGGAGTGGTGAGAGAGGGCATCCTTGTCTAGTACCAGATTTCAAAGGGAATGCTTCCAGTTTTTGCCCATTCAGTATGATATTGGCTGTTGTTTTGTCATAAATAGTTTTCATTACTTTGAGATACGTTCCACTGATACCGAGTTTACTGAGGGTTTTTAGCATAAAGGGCTGTTGTATTTTGTCAAATGCCTTCTCCGTGTCAATTGAGATAATCATGTGGTTTTTGTTTTTGGTTCTGTTTATGTGGTGAATTACGTTTATAGACTTGTGAATGTTGAACCAGCCTTGCTTCCCTGGGATGAATCCTACTTGATCATGATGGATAAGTTTTTTGATGTGCTGTTGCAATCAGCTTGCCAGTATTTTATTGAGATTTTTGCATCTATGCTCATCATGGATATTGGCCTGAAGTTTTCTTTTCTCGTTGGGTCTCTGCCGGGTTTTGGTAACAGGATGATGTTGGTCTCATAAAATGATTTGGGAAGGATTCCCTCTTTTTGGATTATTTGGAATAGTTTCAGAAGGAATGGTACCAGTTCCTCTTTGTGTGTCTGGTAGAATTTGGCTGTGAACCCATCTGGACCTGGACATTTTTTGTGTGGTAGGCTCTTAATTGCTGCCTTGACTTCAGACCTTGTTATTGGTCTATTCATAGTTTCGGCTTCCTCCTGGTTTAGGCTTGGGAGGACACAGGAGTCCAGGAATTTATCCATTTCTTCCAGGTTTACTAGTTTATGTGCATAAAGTTTTTTGTAATATTCTATGATGATGGTTTGAATTTCTGTGGAATCTGTGGTGATTTCCCCTTTATTGTTTTTTATTGCATCTATTTGGTTGTTCTCTCTTTTCTTTTTTATCAATCTGGCTAGTGGTCTGTCTATTTTGTTGATCTTTTCAAAAAACCAGCTCTTGGATTTATTGATTTTTTGAAGGGGTTTTCGTGTCTCTATCTCCTTCAGTTCTGCTCTGATCTTAGTTATTTCTTGTCGTCTGCTAGGTTTCGAGTTTATTTGATCTTGCTCCTCTAGCTCTTTCAATTTTGACGATAGGGTGTCTATTTTGGATTTCTCCACTCTTCTCATATGGGCACTTATTGCTATATATTTTCCTCTAGAGACTGCTTTAAATGTGTCCCAGAGATTCTGGTATGTTGTGTCTTTGTTCTCGTTGGTTTCAAATAACTTCTTTATTTCTGCCTTCATTTCGTTGTTTATCCAGTCAACATTCAAGAGCCAGTTGTTCAGTTTCCATGAAGCTGTGCAGTTCTGGGTTAGTTTCTGATTTCTGAGTTCTAACTTGATTGCACTATGGTCTGAGAGACTGTTTGTTATGATTTCCATTGTTTTACATTTGCTGAGGAGTAAAAAATATGGAACGCTTCACGAATTTGTGTGTCATTCTTACGCAGGGGCATGCTGATCTTCTCTGTATCGTTCCAATTTTAGTATATGTGCTGCTGAAGTGAGCACTGTACTCATAATTCTTATGTCAACATTGATACATATGCTTCAGGACAACTTTCTCTGAGTGTGTATATGTATGCATACGTATGATGTATGTGTGCATAAAGAAGGTATTTGTGAATTTTTAAAACAATAATGATACCTAATATTTCTAGAGTGCTTATTATGTACTAGGTACTGTTATAACCATGTTACATTTAATCTTTACAACATTATGAGGCTCTCTGTATCCCCATTTTGCCAATGAGGAAACAAAAAACCTAGAAAGGATAAGTAACATTCCTAGGATTGCACAGGCAGCAAGTGACAGAGCCAGGGTTCACATGCAGGTTGACACTTCTAACCACTATGCCCTATTATGCTCTCTGTATAGATACTCTCTCTATATACTCTCTGATATATACACTGCACAAGCAATAATGTGTTTCAGAGATTTTTTTTTTAATACTAATGCATTCTAGATTAATTTATTCTTCTAAATTGCTAGACAGCTTTCCATTTCATAGATGGAACCTATTTTTATTTAGTCATTCCCCATTAGTCAACTTTTGGTTATTAGTAGTTGATTTTTCCTTCCATTTTCTTTCCGATTTTTAAAATAATCATAAAAATACATCATATATAATTTACCAACTTGTTTTTAATTGTACAATTCAGTCACTTTAACTGCATCATTAATGTACAACTATTACTACCAGTGAACTCCATAACTCTTTTTATCTTGTATAATGGAAAATTTATATCCATTAAACAATAACTCCTCATTTCTTTATCCCAACAGTCTCTGGCAACCACCATTCTACTTTCTGTTTGTAAAAGTTTGACTACATTAGATACTCCACATACGTAGAATCACATAGTATTTGTTTTTTATGGTGGCTTATTTCATTTGGTTTGATGTCCTCAGGTTTCATTTATGTTGTAACATATGTCTCATTTTTTTTCTTCTTCTTCTTTTTTTCCCTGAGACTTAGTCTTGCTCTGTCGCCCAGGCTGGAGTGCAGTGGTGTGATCTCAGCTCACTGCAACCTCCGCCTTCTGGGTTTGAGCAATTATCCTGCCTCAGCCTCCCGAGTAGCTGTGATTACAGGTGTGTGCCACCACACTCGGCTAATTTTTGTATCTCTAGTAGAGATGGGGTTTCGCCATGTTGGTCAGTCTGGTCTCGAACTCCTGACCTCAAGTGATCCCCCTGCCTTGGCATCCCAAGGTGCTGGGGTTACAGGCCTGAGCAACCATGCCTGGCCTTGAGTCACCACGCCAGCCTAATTTTCCTTCTTTTCAAAGCTGAATGAAATTCCATTGCGTGTATATACCACATCTTGCTCATCTACTCATTGATCAATGAGCACTTGGGTCGCTTCCTTTTTTTGTTGTTGTTTTTGAGATGGGGTTTCTCTGTTGCACAAGCTGGAGTGCAGTGGCACAATCTCGGCTCACTCATTTTTTAACTACTAAAGATAATGCTTCTATGAACATTGGTGTATAAATATCTCTTCAAGACCATACTCTCAATTATTTTGGTTATATACAGGCATACCTCATTTTGTCATGCTTCCCTTTATTGTGCTTTACAGATAATGTGGTTTTCATAAATTGAAGTTTTATGGTAATCCTGTGTGGAACAAGCCTATTGCCTTATTTTTTTTCAAATAGCATGTGCTCATTCATATCTCTGTCACATTTTGGCAGTACTCATCATATTTAAGATTCTACATTATTATTATACCTGTTATGACGACTTTTGTTCAGTGATCTTTGATGTTATTATTGTAATTGTTTGGGGGTGGCACAAGGCACACCTATATAAGATGGCGAACTTAATAAATAAATGTGTGCGTTCTGACTGCTCCATGGACTGGTCATTCCCCGACTTTTCTCTCCCTTTCTTTTTGGGCTTTCCTATTCTTGAGACACAACAATATTGAAATTAGGCCAGTGAATAACCCTACAATGGCCTACATGTTCAGGTAGAAGAAAGGGTCACATATCTGTCACTTTAAAGCAAAAGCCAGAAAAGACTAAGCTTAGTGAGTAAGACATGTCAAAAGCCAATATAGGACAAAAGCTAGGACTCTTGTTTCAAAAAGCTATTAGCCAGGTTGTGAATGCAAAGAAAAGTTCTTGAAGAAAATTCGAAGTGCTCCTCCAGTGAACACACAAATGATAAAAAGTGAAACAGCCTTTTTGTTAATATGGAGAAAGTCTGAGTGGTCTGATAGAAGATCAAAGCAGCCACAACATTCCCTTAAGCCAAAGCCTATTCCAGAACAAGACGCTATTTTTCTTCAATTCTTTGAAGGCTGAGACAGGTGAGGAGGCTGCCAAAGAAAAGTTGGAAGTGAGCAGAGCTTGGTTCATGAGATTTAAGAAAGTAACCATCTCTAGAACATAAAGGTGCAAGGTGAAGCAGCAAGTGCTAAGTAGAAGCAGCAAGTTGTCCAGATCTAGCCAAATCATTTATGAAAGTGGCTACACTAAACAATAAGTTTTTTTTTTTTTAAAGGAAACTTGAGTTGCTTTATTTAGCTTCCAATTTCTGGGAGGCTCAAGAATTAGAAGTATTCTGGACAACAAAAGAAAATAAGACTGTGCTTACAGATCTTGTTCTGCCATATTCTCGCTTTAGGATCGCTGTTTTATTGTATCCCATGCCCTTTCTGTTACATGGGATGTACACATCAGGTGTTAAAAGGTACAATACATTATACAACTGAGCACCACTTTCTGTAACTGAACAGGCAAAGAAGTTACACTGAACATCAGCATCTGGCAGTATTTTTTGGAAAAAAAAAGTGACTAAAATGGGTTTAAATTTGATTAACACTATTAAATCACAGCTAATATTTGATACTACATGATTCAATACAGCTATACGATACAATTAAACAAAATGCTTTTAACATCAAAGAATACAACCAAAATTAAGATAGCAAACAAAACCTATATAACTTTTTTTTTTACAGGAAAATAATTTTGAAATATGCATGTTACTGCCCATACTTTTAAAGAAAATCTACTGCAAGCAAAGTTATCAACCTCCGGAAAAATCACACATAGCATTACTAAGCATATCCCCCCAAAACTGTACAATATGCACACTTGGAAAATACAAAATTAAAAAAATTGTAAGCAACCGGTGAGCTTCATATTTATAAGAATGTAAGAAGAAGTCCCATTTTTAGCACTGTTGTATAAAGAATTGTCTTTTGATGCAAAGTTCACGAATTGTCCTCCTGTTGGGACCACACTTACAAAAACACCGTGTTTTTGAAACGGGATTACAGAGCAAGATAGAACATCTTAGCAATGTCATCTAAGTAAAGTTTTTTTTTTTTTAATTTTTACTACTTTATCAAAACATGTCCCTTAGGTGTGTAGGATTCATTTTTAAAATTCTTCCTAGAAATAATATGCAAAGGAGAGGCATATTTATTCCCAATCACACTCCTGGAAGATGCTTCCCGTGGTCGAGGAGGGTCTTCTTTCTTCTTTTCACTGGTTGTTTTTGGGCTTAGCACGTGTTAAGATGTGAGATTTCAGGTTAGTTGACTGAGCAAACTTCTTACTACAACCATCGAAGGGGCAGACATAGGGCCTGTCTCCGGTATGGATTTGCACATGTGCACTCAAATTGAAGTCCAGTGAAAAGCGTTTCCCACAGCCTTCGAACGTGCACTGAAAGAGCTTCTCTCCAGTATGAACCAGTTGGTGTCATTTTAGTTTTGAACTCTCAACAAAAGCTTTGCCACATTCTGCACAGACGTGGACTGTGGGACTGTGGGTGTGCAGATGTCTTCTCATGGCCGAGTTATCCCTGAACGTCTTTGTGCAGCCTTTATGAGGGCAAGCTATTGTTCTAGGAGCATCGTCTTCTTTAATTTTTCTTGGCTTCATTCTAGCAAATTCTGCCAGTTGTTTGGGATCTGAGAGGGCAATGCCAGGTATTCCTCCAGGAGGAAGTTTTTTTCCTGTCATATATTCTGAATAATCAGGAGGTGAGTTCTCACCAATGATCTGTTCTTCAACCACTGTCTCGTGGTCAATATCTTTTTTTTCATCTGAGGACCACATGGTGACCGAGAACTCGCCCTCCAGGGTCTTGATCTGCACCTGCTTCTGCTCTCACTTCTTGTTGCCTGGGTCGGAGCCACCACCACCTGCCGCGCCAGCCCCGCCGCTCAGGTAACTCTTCTTGCCACTCTTTTTGCCGCCGCCCTTCTTCACGCTGCCACCGCCTGATGAGGACTAGCCGCCGTTGCTGCTCTTGCCAGCCGCTGCCACAGTGACCAGCGTCTGCTCGATGTAGTCGTTGTTGCTGCCGGCCGGGGCGGGCACCAGGATGAGGATCTGGTCCTTGAAGACGTCCTCGGTGCGCAGCCAGTCCAAGTCATCGCTGCCCACCACCTCCTCGTGCGTCTGCACCAGGATCACCTCCTGGTGGTGGTGCACTTGGGTCGGGTAGTCAGTGACCAGAGGCTGCAGCGTGATCATGGGTGGGTGGTGGTGGTGGTGATGGTGGTGGTGGTGGTGCACAGCTTGCCCGTGGTTGCTGCCACCACTGTCCTTGTAGTCATCGTTCTCCTTCTCCTCCTCACCCACCACCGTGGTCTCCATGGTCTCCACTGGGATGGTCTCCACCTCGATCTCGTGCAGCTCCATGATCTCGGCCGGCATCTCTGAGCCATCTGTGGCGATGTAGAGGGTGTCACCCGAGGCCATGGCTGAGAGCTCTGCTGCCACAGCCTCGGCTCCTCGGCTGCTGAGGGGTGGGCAAGGAGGCGGCCGGCCGTGGGGAAGGAAGGCAGAGGGAGCAACAATATGTTTTTAATGGAGACAAAAGAGTATTCTATTAGAAGAAGATGACATTTAGGACTTTTATAGCTAAAGAGGGGAGATACATGGCTAGCTTCACAGCTTCAACAGATAACCTGATTCTCATTATAGGTTAATGCAGTGAGTGGCCAAGTTGAAGTCAATGCTCATTTACCATTTCAAAATTTTAAGGCCCTTCAGAATGATGCTAAATCTACTCTGCCTGCACTCTGTAAATGAAATGACAAAGCCTAGATGACAATACATCTGTTTATAGCATGATTTACTGAATATTTTAAGTCCACTGTTGAGACCTACTGATCAGGAAAAAAAAACAAAACAAAACAAAACATCATTCCTTTCAAAACATTACTGCTCATAGACTGACAATGCACCTAGTCACCCTAGGGCTCTGATGGAGATGTACAAGGAGATTAATGTTTTCATGCCTACCAGCACAATATCCATGTTTATCCCATGGATCAAAGAGTAATTTTGACTTTCAAGTCTTATTACTGAAGTAATACATTTTATAAGACCATAGTTGTCATAGATAATGAATCCTCTCATAGGTCTGGGCAAAGGAAATTGAAAACCTTCTGGAAGAAAGTTGTCATTTTAGATGCCATTAAAAACATTCATGATTCATGGGGGAAGTCAATAAATATATCAACATTGGCAGGAATTTGGAAGAAGTTGATTTTAACCCTTATAAATGACTTTGACAGGTCCAAAATTCAGTGGGGAAGTAACAACTGATGTGGTAGAAACACCAAGAAAAGTAGAATTAGAAGTGGAGCCTAAAGATACAATTGAGTTGCTGCAATCTCATGATCAGACTTGAATGGATGAGGAGTTGCTTCTTATTGATCAACAAAGAAAGTAGTTTCTTGAGATGGAATTTATTCCTGGTTAAGATGGTGGGAACAATGTTAAAATGACAACAAAGGATTTAGAGTATTCATACACTTTATTGATAAAGTAGTAAGAGGGTTTGAGAAGACCGACTTCAATTTTGAAAGAAGTTCTGTTGCAGGTTAAATGCTATCAAACAGCATGACATGCTACACAGAAATCTTTAATGAAAGAGTCAATTAATGTGCAAACTTTGTTGTTGTCTTGTTTTAAGAAATTGCCGGCCAGGTGCAGTGGCTCAAGCCTGTAAACCTAGCACTTTGGGAAGGTAAGGTGGACAAATCATGAGGCAAAGTTCGAGACCAGCCTGACCAATATGTATTTTCTCTACTAAAAATACAAAAATTAGCTGCGTGCCTGTAATCCCAGCTACTCAGGAGGCTGAGGCAGGAAAATCTCTTGAACCCAGGAGGCAGAGGTTGCGCTGAGCTGAGATCATACCACTGTACTCCAGCCTGGGCAACATAGCAAGACTCCATCTCAAACAAACAAATTACCAAACAGACAGAAATTGCCACAGCCACCCCAGCTTTCAGCAATCACCACCCTGATCAGTCAGCAGCCATCAACATTGAGGCAAGACCCTCCACCAGCAAAAAGATGACAATTTGCTGAAGGCTTAGATGATTGTTAGCATATTTTAAGAATAAAATATTTTTAACTAAGCTATGTACTTTCTTAAAAGACATGATAGTATTGCATGCTTAATAGACTACAGTACAGTATAAACATAACTTTTATATACAATGAGAAACCAAAAAAATTGTTGGACTTGCTTTATTGTGATATTTATTTTATTGTAGTGATCTAAAACCAAATCCACACTATCTCTGAAGTATGCCTCTACTCAGAATTGGACTTGCTGGATGATATTTAAATTCTATTTATAACTTTTTGTGGGATTATCATACTGTTTTCCACAGTGATTGTACCACTTACATTCTCACCAACAGTACACCAGGGTTCCAATTTCTCCACATCCTTGCCAACACTTATGTTCTGAGTTTTAAATAGTAACCTTTTTCTAATGGGTGATATGGTAGCCTTGATCTGAATTTTCCTAATAATTCGTGAGGTTGAATATCTTTCCTGTGCTTCTTGGTCATCTGTATATCACCAATGGAGAAATGCCTGTTCAAGTCCTTTGTTCATTTTTGATTTAGGCTGTTTTGTTGTTGTTGTTGTATTTTAGGCATTCTCTAGTACAACCACTATAGAAAACAGTGAGGAGAATCCTTGAAGAACAAAAAGTAGAACTACTATTTGATCCAGCAATCTCAGTACTGGGTATCTACCAGAGGAAAAGAAGTCATTATATGAAAAAGACACTTGCACACATGTGTTTATAGCAGCACCATTCGCAATTGCAAAAACATGGAAGCAACCCAAATGCCCATCATTGAATGGACAAAGAAACTATTATATATATATATATATATATATATATATATATATATATGCAGCAGAATACTACTCAGCCATTAAAAAAGAATGAATTAATGGCATTCACAGCTACCTGAATGAGATTGGAGACTATTATTCTTAGTGAAGTAACTCAGGAATGGAAAACTCTCACTCATGAGAGGAAGCTAAGCTATGAGGATTCAAAGGCATGAGAATGACACAATGGACTTTGGGAACTCAGTCCAAAGGGTGGGAAGGGGGTGAGGGATAAAAGACTACAAATTGGATGCAGTGTGTAGTGCTTGGGTGACGAGTGCACCAAAATCTCACAAATCACCACTAAAGAAGTCATTGTATGAAAAAGATATTTGCACACGTGTTTATAGCAGCACAATTCACAATTGCAAAAATGTGGAATATTACTTGCTCATGTAACCAAATATCACCTGTTCCCCAATAACCTATGGGGAAAAAATTAAAACAACAACAAAAAAGGAGTCCATGTTTTTCTTTTGCTTTCTGTGCCTTGGGTTTGACAGCCAATGAAGTCATTGACAAATAAAATGTTGTTAGGCTTTTCCCTCTATGGTTTCTTCTGAGAATTTTAGTTTTAGATCTTATGCTTCATGGATGACTTTTAATCTATGAACATGGGATATGTTTCCATTTATTAACAAATTGTTTTCATAATTTTCTTTTCTGATTGTTCATTGTTAGTGTATAGAAATGTAACTGATTATTTTGTGTTGGCTTTGTATCTTATCAAATTGCTGAATTCACTTATTAGGGCTAATATTTTAATGTGAAATCTTCAGGGTATTCTACATAGATGATCATATCTGCAAACAGATAATTTTAGTTCTTCCCTTTCCATTTGGATTCTATTTGTTTACTTTTTCTTGTCAAAAGATAATCTTTCAGTTTCTTACCATTGGGCATGATGTTTACTGTGGGTTTTTCATATATGATTTGTGTTATGTTGAGGTAGTTTCCTTCTATACCTATTTTGTTAAATGTTTTTATTATGAAAAAGTGTTAAATTTTGTGAAATGCATTTTCTGCATCAATTAAGGTTATTATGTATTTTCTCCCCTTCATTCTGTTAATGTGACATGTTATGTTGATTTTTGTATATTGAATTATCCTTGCATTTCAGGAATAAATTCCATTTAGGTCATTCTGTATAACTATTATAATATGGCTCTGAATTCATTTTCTAGTATTTTATTGAGCATTTTTGCATGAATGTTCATAAGGCATATTGATTTGTTATTTTTTTTCCTGGTAGTGTCTTCCTTTGGCTTTGGTATCTGGGTAATGCTTGCCTCATAAAATGTACTAGAAAGTGTTCTCATCTTTTCAATTTTTTTTTTGAAAAATTTGAGAAAGATTGATGTTAGTTCTTTTTTAAATGTTTGCTGGAATTTACCAGTGAGCCCATCAGGTCCAGGGCTTTACTTTGTTGGAACATTTTAAATTACTGACTCAGTATCTTTCTAGTTATAGGTCTAGCCAGATTTCCTATTTTTTTCATAATTGAGTCTTGGTAGGTTTTGTGTTTCTAGCAATTTCCCCATTTAATCTAAATTGGTACTGTACAATTGTTTATAGTACTCTCTCACAATCATTTTTATTTCTATACAATCAGCAGTATTCCCACTTTCATTTCTGACTTTAGTAATTTAAGTCTGTGTTTTTTTCCCTTAGTCTATCTAAGTTTTGTCAATTTTGTTTATATTTTTAAACAAACCAAATTTCGGTTTTATTGATTTCCTCTATTGCACTTCTTTATTTTGTTTATTTCTGTCTTGTTCTTATTAATTTTTTTTCTGCCAACTCTGGGTTTAGGTAGTTTCTCTTTCTATTTACTTAAGCTGTAACTTTAGGTAGTTGATTTGAGATCCTTCTTGTTTTTAAGTGTTTATACCTATAAATTTCCCCTTTATTTAGCACTGTTTTACAGCATTCCATATTTTGCTATGTTGGGCTTTCATTTTCATTCATCTCTAAGTATTTTCTTTTCTTTCTTTTTTTGGGATGGAGTCTTGCCCTGCCCCCCATGCTGGAGTGCAATGGCGTGATCTCAGCTCACTGCAGTCGCCTCCTCCTGGGTTCAAGCCATTCTCCTGCCTCAGCCTCACAAGTAGCTGGGATTACAGGTGCACGTCACCACGCCTGGTTAATTTTTGCATTAACCACATTTCATTTTCAATCTATTTGTGTTTTTGAATCTAAAGCAAATCTCTTGTAGAAAACATGCAGTTAGATCATATTTTTAAATTTATCCTGCCAATCTGCTTTTGATTGGAGAGTTTAATTCATTTACATTTAAAGTAATTGCTAAATATAAGGTTTTACTTCTGTCATTTTCCTATTTGTTTTCTAAATGTCTAACAGCTATTTTCTTCCTCATTTCCTGCATTACTGTTTTCTTCTGTGTTGAATTTCTTTTGTAGTAAAACATTTCTTTTTTCTTTTTATATATATTCTATAGGCATATTCTTTGTGGTTATTGTGGAGACGACATTTAACATTCCAAGGTTATCACAGTCTAACTTGAATTTATAACCAGCTTAATTCCAATCAGA